AAATAAAAACAGCCCTAAATGTAAAAATTTGTTACTAGAAAACTAAAAAGCATTTTTATTTAGATTATGATAATTATGATGCAGACTTGCATAACAGTAGCAGCTCAGTCTTCAACAAATATTAACTCAGTTTTACCCCCTTTTTTTGTTTTTTGAAAGGGGTGTATGTGTTTTCTACTCTAACGAAAAGTTATAGGTAACCAGATTAAATTATTCTATACCACGGAAAATAAAAGTACATTAAAAATATTTTTTAGTAATTACAATAATTCTACATAAGTCATAAACATCATCAATTGATATATTTTTAAATTGCTCAGTGTGTTATACAACTTGAAAAATAAATTAAAGATCATTATGCCACATCACAATATTCTTAAAACTTGGTTATTTGTCAGATCTCATTAAATTACAATGCTTGCCAGATTAAGTAAATAATAAATACTTCAATAGCATAAATCAGAAAGATATCAGCAATTGTAGACATATCTAACGTCAAAAATAATATATTTTGTTAATTTGCATATCAATCTGGCTAGCTTAGATAAAAAATGGTATAATGTATTTATAAACTGTATAGGAAAATATTATTTATATTGCAATGTGTTTAAAAAAATAAGTTCATGAAGATATGATATAAAAAAGGAAATAATTATCTTGCATATAAATGCTAATACAATTCTGGATAATACATTTAAAGGATAGAAATCTTGTATCTAAAAATGCTTAGTTTTAAACATCATGCAAGTGTTTACAAAATTACTCCAAATAGTGAATTATACATAAATGGTTTTTCATTACAAATATTTGAGGAATAATTTAATACATTTTTATATATTAACAAAAACACTGTATTAAAACATCATGTATAAAGCTTCATTTTCAAAATATCGATATGACAAAAATATTGTTAAAAAAATTCTTGACTAATTAAGTATCCCATCACAAAAGGGTGTGAGACAAATTAACACTCACTAGTGTAAAATTTTATAAATTATTATTCACAATAAAAATGTAACTTCCCTGTTTTCTAAAATAATTTTTACATCAATACAATTCTTTTTTTAAGATTATTTCATTCTTAAAAAATTACTGAAACGCTGATATTCATCAGATTCATATTGTAAACTAAATGGATTTTTAGCATCAGGCTTATTGCCAGAAAATAAGCCACGTGCTAATTTTACATCTGACAAGCAAAGCAAAAAAACAGTCACAAACTTAATCTCACATTAACAGCAATATCTTGAATAACATATTCTATATTATCTGTTCTTTAAGATTTTATTCTGTTGTTTGATCATAAAATTAAATTCCTTTTTATTTTTTATTCATAGCAAGTTTTACAACAAAATATAAACAAAAGCTCATATTATAAATATTATAATTAATACCATAACATGCAATGTGTTTTCAATATTATGCTTCTAACTAAATTGAAAATCAACAATCTTTTATGCTTGCATGTTTACCAGGTCTTTTGGGGGAAGAGGGATGTAAAAACTGAAGATGGCAACAATATAATGAGCTTCAAAATCAGAATGATGCATTAAAAAAATTTAACAGCATGGAAAAACAGATAGCCACAACACACTGAGTAGTAAATCATTGGATCACTTTTAGGCATTAGATAAGCAGTTTAGGAGACTAAAGTATATCCTACACCCATCTGAATCAAGAATTATCAGTAAAACTTCATATTCCTAAATTTTGTGCAGTGGAGTTTTTGGTCATCAATGTATTCTCAAACTTGTATACAAAGTTTTAAGAACTGAAAGATTTTTTTTTTTTTTTCCAGTAAGAGATTGGAAGTGATATCTATATGTATGATAAATATTTTTACATTTACGAAATGGCAGTATAAGCATAAGAATTTTATTGGTACTTTTCCGTTTCGCCGGCGCAAATCTCGCCAAGCAGACTTTATTGGCGACAACATACAGTATACACATAAAAAATATTAAAAAAATTTTAGTTTCTAAGAATTCGTTTTAAAAAAAGAAGACATAAACATTTAATATCGCTTAAAATTTTTATAAAAAGCCATATAAATTTGTAAAAAGGCATTAATTTAAGAATTTACTATGCTTTCATGGTTCAAACATCCTGATTCGCCGGTTTCATATCACGTGACCCCAAGCGATCTCATCTCACGTAAACTACTCTACAAAAATCTAATGCTCTCAATAATTATCTACATCCATTTCAAGTTAAATCTTAATTTGGAACACAAGTTTAAATGCAAGAAACATTTCAATTCGTACGAATAACTTACTCAGAAATTATGTAAAACTGCAGTGCTTTACTTCGCTAATGCATTCTCATTAGAATGGATGAATTTAACCCTTGACCTTTACCTTTTCTATATTTTCGGCTTTGGATAAGCGCTGTGATTGCATCCCAATTGACTTAATTACCGAAAATGGCTTAACATAAACTGAAATATCTGATAAAAAGTCTATGTATTCTATATGCCAGTATTGTAAGAAACAACAAACTAGTCTGATAAGAAAAAGCTGCGACTTGTTTTGAAAATGATGCGTAAAAGATTACCAGCGAGAATATTCCGTTTGGCATCAGTTGTACCATTAATGGCGACTTTATCGCTTGCGCCGGCAAAACGGAAAAGTACCATTTTATTTCATTTATTATATAAAAATCATTTTATATTTTACTACACATAATTTCCATACATATCATCATAAAATAATTATATTTTGTGATAATAAAAAATAATTCAGTTTGCATAAAACCAAAAAAATAATATGCTATAACATATGGTGCATTAAATGCCTTAATATAGTTTAGTAATTTTAAGCACAAAATGTTATGAGCTGCTCTCAAGACTTAAAAATACTACAAATAAAAAATAGAACAAGTATTTAACTGAAATTTTGATAAGTTATTTTATAAATTCTCTTGGAGTAAGTATTTTACAAAGCAATTCTCTTCTGTAAGCATTAATAAAAAATTCATACCATCACTGTTAATATTAACTTAAAGTAAATTTAATTTCCATAAACTTTATGGCATAAATTTAAGTAAAAACAAGGATAATATATTTGTTTTAAACAAGAGATTAAAAGCATTTTCTTAGATATAATATACAATGTAATAAGATTTTTTAATCCTTTCATGAATTATGAGTAATATTAAAGATGTCAATAATTTAACTTTTACAGATAATATGGCACATCAGCACATACATATATATATATGATAAAATATATATCAAAACAAATATAAATTTTTTTCATTAAACAAAAGGCAACAATATGTCCAGTACAGTACCCTATAAACTTTTTATACAGTATCAAGATGAAGCAAAAGTTGGTAAAGATTTCCAAAAATTAATATTTCGGTGAATTTGTGAAGTAATGCAATTAATACAAAAATGAATAAAATCCTATTGAAGAATATGAATTTTTTATGCATTTTTTTTATACTGTTATGCTCAAATACCTCAAAATAAATACTAACTGTGGCAACCATCATTACTGAGTACTGATGATTCCATACTATGATATATGGACTGCAGAAATTGGATACTTCATAGATAACATTTTTTATAACTGTAAGGGAAGCATGATGTTTGTATGCCCTGATTTCAGACAGCTCTTTATCACTTTGCCCTCTCCAGTGGTTGAAAGCAGGAGCCAGTATATAAAACTGGAAACACAAAACAAAACCTGTTAGAAAGGCCTTCCCTCTATTTTTTTCAGTATAATAGAAACATTGATGCAAATATCACTTCATGTAAAGTGCATTTCATTTAAAGTATTTGTGAAATAACATTATAATAAAATACTTTCCATTCCAAGTTACTTAAACATAAAAGTATATTTCATATTTCTGTATGTTTTATTCTCGTGACAATTTGGTCTGTATGGTATAAAGTTATAATGATTGAGACCTTACCTTGCATACAATAATGGTGACTGGTTAGCTATATAAGTTAGCATAATATAATTATTTTAATGGATGAATTTTAATGAAACAATTTGTTAGCCAATGAAAATGTTAGAAAAAGGTTAATTTTTAGAGGAAGCCATAAAAATATATAAAATTTTACGCTATGGAAGAATATGAAAGCTCCTAGAAAGGAGACGCACATGCCACATTCGTTCCTGCGAAAATCAAGCCCTGGTTGAGAGCAAGAGTTTATTAGCCAATAAAAAAGTAACAGGGGTTCATCTTGCATGACTATCATAAAATTCTATGCTTCCCTTTCTTCTAAAATAGAGAAAATGACTTTTTTATAACAGGTTAGCATTATGTTGACTTGCCACTTTGACAGTTTAAAAGTAACTATACAGTCATAATTCCAAGATAAGTCACAGTAGATATAACTGTATTTTTATTTTTTCTTATTATTTCATGCATACTATGCTAACTGCATTACCATATATTATAAATTCACTCAAATATAATTTTTTAAATCTTTACTGATTTTTCAACTACCTTGTATACTGCTCTATATAATGTGCAAACTATTTTAGCATAAAACCAAAATATATCAAAATAGTAATAACAATAATTACAAACTAATAACATTGATGAAAAATTACAGAAAATTAAACATTTAATTTTCTCATTAATACAAGCCCTATGTTTTGTATTTGCCACACTGTCAACTGTACATTCAAACTTTAAATTTACTATAAAAGTTTAAAATATATAATCAAAGAAATGTGAAATATTTAATTGTACAAGTACTTGCCATAATTATTCAGCAATTTTATGCTACATTTTTGCATTAATTATTGGTTTATTTATGTAATGAAATGTTACTAACATAATTAGAAAAAACATTTTTGCTGCTAATGAAAGTTCCCTTAAAATATGCAAATAGACAAAACTTATATAAAATCAAAAACTCAAATATCTAATACAAAAGATTAATTATATAGGTTCTAATATAGCTGAAACACAGAGAACATTCCAAAACTTTTATTGGTAACATTTTAAATGAGTAACACAAAAAAAAAAACATTAAAAAATTTTTTAGACAAACATTTATTACATTTTAGATCCTTGTACATATTTCTAAAATTTCATATCACAAACATTTCATCAGTTGAATAGATAGTTATACTGCAATCTGCATCCGTTTATAATGAAATATTATTTTCAAAGTAGCTTAACTGCATCACTACTTTTAACAATAACACATACAATTCATATTGTTTTCTCATATAGATTAACTAAAAACGTTTTTACTCCTGGATTAAAATTTTTAATACAGAAAAATGCATGCATAACACTAACGCTTTTTTAAACTGCTTTGTAGTACTTTTCTGTAGAAAGCATTCCAACAGAAAACCTATTACTTTGTAATGCATTATAACATCAGTAATAAAAATTAAGCAATTATTTAAATGCAAAATCTTAAAATACATGTTAAACACACACAATACTAGTTAAATATACATAGAAGGAAATATTACACTGAAAATAAAGACTTTTTTTAATACAGTGGTCTTGAATTCAAATTGCATATCGGCCAAATGCATGATGTGAAAACAACTTATAGGCCAGAGGTTATTTTAAATTTTTTTAATGAACTTTTTTATTAACAAAATGAAAAAGTATTTTAATTATGTTTTAAATTTCACATGCTGAATACTTAACTAAAACAGACATTAACAATAATATTACAAAGGGGGAAAATATTCAAATTTATTTTTTATCTGATATCTAAAGTTTAGTATTTGCAAGACATTTTTGTTGGTTACAATTTGTAATTCAAATATACTGACAGCTAACTACCAAGTTTTCAGAATGACATTTCTTTCAAAATAATTCTAACATGCTTAGTAAATAACTTAATTTAAATTAAAGATAAACAAATTACCAGTAATTTCTAAACTGTAGAATCATGAATTAGTTTTTTTTTTCTTATTAATTTTCAAAAAGATAATGAAAATATTGTAAATTTGGATTTGAAATAACTAAAATCTTGAAATTTTGCAACACCATAGTTAGAACAAATACATAATTGATATGCATTTATGGGCTGCATAAAACTACTTCGGGAGCTCCCAGTTAGACACCATTGCCTTACACAATACAAAATTTATTTTTTAAAGAATGGATATAAAAATCCATACCTGCAATAATAATATAGTTATGTAGCATCTTTTCACAGAAAACTTAATGATATATATATTTGAATTTAAAAATTGCTTTTCTACATATTCAAAACTGATTTGAAACCACCAGTATCCTCCTCAGTAATATATTTACTTAAGAAAAATAAATGTATGGAAAATAATAAAATTTACAACCTTTTTACATATTTCAAATTAATTCAATCTGAAGGAAATTATAAAACTTTTAGATGCTTAAAAAGATAGATATTTTTTAACATTTCAACAAGCTGAAGATATCTAAATAAATTATAATAAAGATGATATAGTATAAATTCATATCCCAACATAATACACATACAATAAAGCATTATGATTACAAAATACTAAGACTTGCAAAAATATATACGGTGAATTCTTCTAATATGAATCTATAAGTAATAAAACTGTCTAATTTTGGTAGAAATTATCGAAAGTATTCTAGGAATCATTCCTTCTTCAGCGTTCTAGACTGAAAGTTCACTTAATTTGAACATGCACAACCACATTCTTATCATATTAAGGTCTATCATAATATAAATTAATAATGATTAGCAAAAACATAGCATTTGTCTTTCAAACAATTGCTCTTTTGCATATCTAAAATACAGCAAATTTGACTTTAAGACATTAGAGAACTTCATGAATATGTAAGGATCAAATGTAATTATTCCTACATAAAACAATATTCAGCACTCTAATATTACATGATTAATATTACTATTCAACTAATTGCATTTCATTCTTTTAAAAATTTAAGTAAAATGACTACTGTAAATTTAAGAAAATATCTTGAGATCAAAATATGTAAAAAAACAGATATTTTTTGGCTAAATTATTAAAGAGGTTTATATTTAAAATATAAATCAAATAAAAGTAAGCAGTCTTTTTAAATTTTAAATATAATTTAATTTACAACTGAAAAATATATTCACACTTGAACTTTCATAAAAGGTTAAAATCTAAAGAGCAGTCTGTTCTTGTCATTGTTAATGCTCGATTAATCCACTAAAGCATAAAAAGTTGTTTAAAATTACTGAATTAATTTTAAGTACACTTTAAACACATGCTTGGTTCTAAAATAAATGAAATCAGAACTGTATACAAGAAATATATGTCTCAGTGGTATGGTTAGAGAAACATTAAAGCAAAATGGCAAAATATTTTTAGTCACTATCACATACCCGCTACCTTAGCTTAACAGGATGAAATATTTTTAAACAACTTAAAAGAATTTGAATTTTTAAAATATTTCAAACCACATATTTCTCTTTGCCTATATTATTAATATTATCTCTCAGATCACATATTTTTAAAAAATTAAGAAAAACATTATGAAAAAAAAATGTTTCCAGTCCATTTGCTCTTTATTCATCAGCTTTAATTTCTAAGTTAAGTAAATTAATTATGAAATTTGTGCACAAGCTGGAAAGACGATATAAACTGTGCACATTCTCAGGTATCTGACAAATGTATAACAATGCTATTTACAGAAATTCAAAAGTTATGTTTTGTGAAAGATTACACAGATAAGTAGTCATGTATCAGAATACAAAACAGAGACTACAGGTGACAGTTTCATTGGGAATACCAACAATGACATCATGCAATGGCATTTCCATAGATTAGAAGTATATCTGTCATAACACAATTAGTTATATGATAGCTTGTTTTGTTTCAATATTCTAATCTACAGTATATTCACTTTGTTATCAAAAATTCTTTACTCAGTGTCAAAATAAATAATCAACAATTATTTTTATAAAAAAGGACTTTCAGAATTCATATTTATCACTGCAATCATAAACAGCATTGCTAAATATTTCTTCACTTATGATATTAGTGTATAAAAGTTAAATGACTATTGTTTCAAACATGATTTTGCTGAAGCATGAACTAAAGTGAGAGAACAACATACATACTAAACATTAATTATTACTGGGTAAAATATACAAATAGAGACTAGTTCTCAAGCAAGTTATACATTGCATTGAATGGCCTTGACTAGAAAAAAAATCTGCAGTTTATTTCAAGAAGAATGTATTTAAAAATGATACAGTATCTTAAGTAAACTAAAATTATGCACCATAAAAATTCAAAACTAAAGGACACAATATATATATATTTTTTTTTCTTCCAGATAAAACACAAGATTTTCAACTGAACTGAAATTTGTAAATTTATATTACATTCATTTTGTTAAAAACATACCACTATCTATCAAATTTATCATATCAAATGCAATTTTGCATCAGTGATCTACAACACAAATCATAAATCAAAGACCAGATTTTTTTCCGCCTCTCTAACACGAAAGAGGCAAATTAGATTTCTTATATTTCTTAACAAGCAGTGGTGACAATTACTACAATTTTTGCTTCAAATTCATCATTGCTTATATTTTTCACATGATGTAAAAAAAAATCAGCTTTTTAAATGGTCCTAAGCATTTTGATTATACAGATTATTACAAATTTTGCTTACACATTGGGCATATAGTTTGCTGCTTCAGGCAACGCCTCAGACATTCACCATGAAACATGTGTTTGCAAGGTGTTACTCGTGCTCTTCTCATTGATTGCAAGCATACTGCACAAACATCATCTCTCTCACTCACTTCTTCCTTGGTAGCATAGCGATACTTATCCAAAACTGATTTTTCCATTAGCAAAACATTCCAGTGATCACCCATTTCTTTCAGACATAAATATACATTAATATAACCTGATGAAAATATTAGAAGCCAACCTCCATCAGTAAAAAACCACACAATAGTAATCATTAAAACAGATGCAAGAGATGAAAATATACGTAACAATATAGGACACCACAATAATTCTAAATTTTCTAAGCAATCTAACTGCAATTTTATTAATAATGTGTTGGCCTTTTTATGGCAAGTCGGCTCTGTTATAATGTAATATATAGCAGTAATAATAATATAACCCCATGTTGGACTAAAGTGCTCTAAACCCTGTTCGAGACCAAATACAAGTAATACAAATACCCCAGTGATTGCAAAAGTTACCACTTTTGCTAGATCTAAAACAATCTTCGTAGCAGTCATAGCCAGATGCCTTATATTAGAATGTTCAGAAACATGAATAACAGGCGAGTAGTCATGTAGACAAAGAAGGCGATCTGCATAAGCAAAGAGATAACCTATAACATTATAAAATAATAGACAATATAAGCCAGTCAGCCTGTCTTCAGGACAAAACCAGCAATCACAGAGCATAAAAAATAAAACTTGGTTGATGAGACTGGCCATGGTTCCATTTTTGCGATATGAATCTTCAGCATGGCGAAATATACTTGACACATTTGATGCGAGTGTTTCCCACAAAGATTTAAGAACTTGGTTTGCCATGATGTAACAAGTTCCCATACTATCCATCAGGAGCCTTAAATTTAGAAAATAAATAAGTAAGTAAAATTTAAAATATATATACAATTTTCACATTATTTTAAAACAGAAAAGTTTAATTAAATATAAATTAGTCATGCTCTGCCTATTTGGTATAATAATATATAAATACTATACACTTAACAGCAACATATGGATCCTAAAAGATCATTCATTAAATCAATTAACATCCCACAAAAAATGATATTATTGTTAAAAAGTGAGGCAAAGTTACACATTCATTCATATACACTATACTTGGTAAGAAAAATTTAAATTTGTTATCTAACTAGCAGTTTTTTGAGGGATTTTGTTGTGCTTAACATATTTAAGTAAAACTTCATCAATTATTCATCCATTATTTATCATTAAATTTGGTACATTTTTTTAAACTGATCTTTTCATTGAAAATAGAAACTGCTTAAAAGTGGAAAATTATCTAATTATAAATTCACTTTATATTTCATCTATGATTGCTTTAAATTCCATGTATGATTCCACTTATGCTTCTACAACAACAGCAATAAGTGCATTGCAATATCAACACTGCAGAACTACCTTAGGGATCAAAGAATGAGCATTCAAAGAGGGTAGAATAGCATCACTTTGCACAAATCACATACACAGTAATCTTAAAATTAATTTAATCTAATTAAATTAGATTAAAGATGAGTTGATGGGCACACTGGTAAGTTTTGATTAAGCAGCTATAAAAATTAAAATTCTAGTAACCAATGTATCTCATATCTCTTTCCATCCAGATACCACCTCTGATAATATACACAATCATTGGCATGTGTAATGTTTTTTATATATTAATAAAGGTATGTAATCAAAATTGGTTGATGTATGTAAGTATTAATAATTCAGATTTCTGACATATGAATGTCTTCCAAGATGTTTTTAACAATATGAATGGTGAATTTTTATTTCATTCAAGTAAAACATTTATGGAGATGTGAATAACAAAATTCCTAACATTGCTGAACATAAAATATGACAGAATGTTTAAAAGAAGTGGCTCAAATTGAATTAGCCTTTACTGGAGACCTGACAAAGATGACTGTATTGATAATATTGTTTACAGAACAATACAAAATTGTTGAACTGTTACTTTTCTTAGATAATATGTAATAAGTATGGAAGTTAGTTTAAAATTTAATTATAGTTCTGTTTATTAATTATAGTTCTGTTTATTTGAAAGATTAATTATAGTTAAAATTAATTATAGTTCTGTTTATTTGAAAGAAGCAAATATATTTCAAATAGTATACTGAATTACCTTTCAGTAGATGAAATTACTCCTGAATAATAGTATAAAAATGCATTTATTTCATTTAAAATTCATTTCACACCTGTTATACACATATCTGACAGATATGATATCCACATGCAACCTCTTCTTAACATCTTTACGAGCTTTTCATTCAATTTTAATGTAATAATTTCATACCCAAGAAAATTAATCAATATTAAACTCAATATTTATCACTTTTTATCAATAAATATTTATTTAGGATGTCTTTGCTTTAAAATTAATTATTTTGTTTAACGTTACAATACTCAACTAAAAATGCAGCTTATTCAAAAAATAACATATAATCACTTTTATACAGCTACAATACATCAGAGTATATTTTAGAGCCAGAGAACGCATAAAATTACTTCAGGAGGCAATTCTTTCCTGCTTTCGTTAAATCATGATGCAAGATAAAAAAAAAAGTTATAAACTACTCTTTCCAATTCTCCACTATTGTAATCGTTAGATATAATCTGACGTTAAAATAAAAATTAAAAAAATATATATATGTTAGCCATATTCAAAATATGTAAGAATGATTTTGAATCAAAACACCAATATATTCTTAGTTACATCCCTAAACTTGTATTCATTTTTATGAATTTTCACACATTGTATAATTTTGCACTAAATTAAACTCACACATGAATACTCCGTTCAGCTACCAAAATAAACAAACACTGAAATTCCCAAGGAGGTTAGAATAGAAGGAGGGAGGGTTCGCAGTTTCCTCCACTATCGGGGAATGAAACTACGCCGAACAAGCGGCGTCCATGTTTGTGACTTCAAAACATTGCATTACGGCAGTGACATGTACGTGTTTCTAAGCTGTTCCGTGCATTTATTTTCCAGTAAAATATGTTAAATTTATAATGAAATCCCTCGTATTGTTTGAATTTTTGTTTTAAAGTAATAAAGATGATATCCATAATTTACTATGTACAGCAAATTATTAAGAAATAGTTCGAAATCTAAATGCATGCGCATAACATTAAAGCCTTTAAAAATGATGTTTCTGCATATTTCACGGATTTGCTTAGGTTAGAAAATAAATCTTAATAAAATAAAACAGATTTATGTGAATTCATTGATTTCAGTTTATGCGCATTTCATATTTATTAATCTCAAAGAAAACTGCCTTTAATTAAGTTGAATTACAGAATACACCTATAAAGTTTTTGGATACATCTTTCCACATGTTCAATTTTGTAAATATTTTACTTAATTTTATCACTATACTGCCCGAAATTTGTAAGTTTATGCAAAAATTTTTAACAACAGAACAGTTTATCTTAACTTAAAAAAATGAATAATAATTAATATATAAAGAAAAGCATTGCTTTTAACACCTTTACAATTAATAAAAATAGTAACAATTGATTTCTTACTTTTCATGAAAGTTATAAAACGAATTAACTAAAACGTTCAAATTATACAATTTAAATCCTACCATATAGCATTGTATCTTAAGGTAACGAAGATACCAGCTATAAACAGAAACATTGAAATGTATTTAACATATTTTGATTATAGTTATATTACGTAACCTATTTTGATTATTTAAGTCCCTTTTTTTTCACATCTGGAAAGAAAACAACATGACATTGTGATATTTTTTGACATAGTTGTCGTATTACATAAAAAAAAAGAAAATCAATACTTACGTGTGAAAAATAACGCCCAGAATTTTTTTCGAGAATCTATTTGTGCACCCATATGCAATACAAGCTGACATGCTTCAAAAAGAAAAGAAAAAAATGTTGCAATGACAGCCTTCCTTGCACAAGTCACGGTGATAACAGGAAGATGGCCGCGAAGCTTCACCGTTTGAGTTGAACCTTCCCTCCTTCGTTTACGATTATTCGATATCCTTTATGACAAAAACAAACGGCAGCTGTGTCTATCCGTCCGACTAGTAGCGCAGAGGCGTTAATGTAAGATCGCGTTTTCTCCGTGCAGAAATGTTTATTTACGTTTTGTGTTACATTTATTTCAACTAATATGCTGAATGAGATACATTCATGGACCTTATAAGAAATAGACTAACTCAAACGGGTTTGCTCCCTTGTCTGAGGCATTGCCGGCTGTCACCTTGATCACATCCGGAGAAGTAGGGACGACTTGCAGAAAGTTAACATGGTTGGTATAATTGTCAGAAAAAGCTGGTGTAGCGTTCATTTCAAATTAGAATTTCTCCATATTTTTATTTTTGAAATTGAGATTGGTTTTTAAAATTTAGTACATATCAAGCAAACGTTCCAAATAATTAAAAGCTATTGCATGCTTCAGGATGGCTTTTTTTTTTTTTAGCTTCCATGCTGTAAGGAAAGTGGAACTACTTCTTTTAGAAAATAATATTTAAATCTGAACTAATAGAAATTTCAAACAAGCAATTTTCTCTTGCAATTTTTATGTTTTTTATTGGTGTAAAAAGTAAAAATACTAAAATATTTAAAACGAATTTTTGAAAGTTTTGTTTAAAATTCTAAATTGTGCGCGTTTTTTAAAAATTATAGATGAGTATTATAGCACAATTTCTATAAAGGAATTTTATTTCAATTATATTCATAATACATCAGAGTAATAAAGACTTTTGACTTAAAAATTGTATACATTTAATTTAATTTAAAATGTATTTAACCGTAATAATTAATTTGCTTGTATTTTATAGTGATTATTTTTTATTTATTTTTAGTTCTGTATAAGATTTTTTTTATTACTGTTAATTTAATTTATTAGCCCAAAGGGGCGGTAGCCTAGAAAGCTGTTAGTTTTGAAGCAGCATTTTGCATGTTTTACTATAAATGTCCGTGTTTCCTTGCAAAATTGTTGTTACCAAATATATCGCCCTGTATTATATGTAAAGAAATTAAATAATGAAGAATCTGCTTTGAATACATGTATGTTTTCTCGCACTGTGAAAAAACGACGTATCTAGAGCCATCAAATTTTTAATAATGTAATCCTCCCACTCGAAATGGCATCTGGACGGCTGAATTTCGGATTGGTTTTAATCTATTTCATATTTGTAAAACTTTAACGAATTTTTGATTAACAAACTCAACGAGTTCAGAGCGAGCACTGTAAAAATAACAGTTTTATCTCCAGTGCGGAAATTCTAAAGATATGCTGTTTTCAAAATGTATGTGGTTTACGGGCGAAGGACATGATTTTCAATAAATATAGGTAACACCACAAACTTTAAAAAAAGAGAGCTTCTAGATTTATTTTATCTTTTTTTTTCTTCATTACGCTCTCAGAAAATTTTATGCTCCGAATTTTATGAATTATTAAAACAACAATCCACTTTAATGTTAATAATTTAAATGTCATATAATCAAATAAATATGATCGTTTTGTAATGTTAATTATAGTTTAGAAAAATCACTGCCTGACAATTTCATTAAATTTTTAAAAAAATTATCAGATCTTGTTTAATGTTCCTTATTTATTTCAAAAGCATCGCGTACTATCAATCTTATTTAATTTTGCTTTATTTTTTACGCAAAATTAAGTTCATAAATTTTGTGCTTAGAGTTTTTACCGTTTTTTACCAAAGAAAGATGTTTGTACAAGAATTATGCGTGAAAAAAAATGCCCGAAATGCAGTAAAAAGTGCTTTAATGAGATATATTAAATCCTATTTGGAAAAAACTGTGGCTTTCATAATGTCATCACTATACAATGTATCACATTTAATAATTAAAAAGAGTTATGTGATACAAACGCCATAGTATTCAGTATTAAAGTAAACCAGATCGTCTCTACTCTTTCTTGCCGACATGTCGGTGATGCGCGCCCCGCCCACTGGGTTAGTCTATCTCTTATAAGGTCCATGAATACATTCCGGTGACGTTGGAGGTCACGTGATGTAAGGACTACTAATGTAAACAAACAAGCTTGTGCTGTGGTAGATGTGTTGAAAAATCGGAAACTTTGTTTATTTTTAATTACTTATAAAATTTGAATTTCATTTTTAATTATTATTTCAAACGTTAATTAACTGTTCATTCATTTGGTTAGTATAATTTTTGCAACTCTTATATGTTATTGTTATCTTCATGATACTCTGTTATTCGCTGCTTTACCATGTTCTGATTGTTAATATTTATTTATGAATTCTTTCCTTGATCTGATAATTCATTTATCATTTTCCCATTATAGTTTTAATTTTTAGTTTGATTTCTAAATTCCTGTTTACATTTCCAGTTTCTGAGTGTTGACAATGCCTACTACATGTTGTGCATACGGTTGTTCAAATAACAATATGAAGGACAAATGTAAAGAAAATAAGATTTCCTTCCATCTGTTTCCTAAGAATTAAAATCTGCGTAAGGAGTGGATAGTAAGAATAAAAAGGGAAAACTTTAATCCAACCCCCACTACCAGAATTTGCTCTGAACATTTTGAAGAAGAATGTTTCACATACCAACTTTCACAAACAGGAGGTCATTAAATGCAGATGCTGTGCCAACGAAATTTATTTTTAATTTGACTAAAGGAACCACTAAGCGAACTAGTTATGTATTTGGTGAATCATCGCAGGAAAGTTCAAGAGAAAAGAGGTATTTATGTACTAGTTTTATCAGAAATACAGAGCATTTGTATATGAAAACTAGAGATTGTTTTTTTTTTTTTTTAAATTTCTGCACTTTTGGTTTTAGAAAAAGATAAAAGCATAATTGGTGTGCTCTGAAATTTAATTAATTTCTTCCTGTTTCAATGTTTTTTGCAGCTGATAGTTTTCAAAATGAAAATTGCGTTGGTCGCAACTTAATTGCTTCTATATGGCATGATACATATTATTTCGTATTCGACAGGATTTTTATTGCTTATGTATTAAGGACTTGTTGTTTTATTCTTTTATCATGTTTCTTACTTCAATTCTTACAACTTTGGTAGACACTTCACTGATGAAGCAGTTAGCGAGGTTTCCTCCTAATTTAATACTTATTTCTATAATATGACACTTTCTATGCTTATTTCTTTGGTGTTTCTTACTTCAGTTTTTACCACTGCTGATAATACTTTTTAATAAATTCATTGAATTTGATTTCTGGGTTGTTATTATTTACTTCACCAGATTCTGATTACTAGCATCACATTGTCAGGTATCATATTAGATGCTAAGCTTAAGTTTATCCTTGCAAATAGAAATTTTAAGCTTCTAAATGCTTCAGTATTGCTGATTTAAATATAATTTTTATTGTTAGTTCGTCCTCTATTTTGCATGCCTTATGTTTATTTGCATGTAAAAGTTTCACAAAAAAATTGAAAATTTAGTAAAATGTCTCCCAAATTTAATTATTAACCAACCAAGATGTAACATGTAACGAGGTATGAGAAATACGTGGAAAGGTTTCAATGAGATGTTTCAGTTGATTAGTGATTCAGTTTTGGAAACCCCTTTAATAAGGAATTCTATATATTACATAAGTATTTAAATTGTTCAACAAAAGAATGCCAAATAAATGAGAGAAATTAATCAAAATTAATTCGGATTACAATCAGAAATAATTTTAAACACTTATATTAAAAGGCGAATTTCCATCTCTTTATCCAAACAATCTTCACTGTATTAAGTTCAATCAGGATAAATCTACAAACCATACCTCTAAA